ATTTTTGCATTCTAGACATCAAAATTACTGCTCAGATGCTCTCAGAATGCACCAATTTAAAAAAAAAATCTTGGGGGAGGTCCCCCAACCCCCCTAAGTGGCATTCGGCAGCTTTTTAAAACACCAGAAAAAGTAAGCATGAAAAAGTGCCCTTTATTTCTTCCTGGACACCCCCTTTTCAAAAATCCTGGATCCGCCCATGTAGCATAGATGGTGTCTTTCAAGATATGAGTGGGCATAATACGTCTATACATAACACAATACATACTACGGCAAGGCTCTTAGACAGGATATTGGTAGAGCTTATCCTATCTGTAAGTTAGGCGATAATGTGTAATGTTCAGGTGGCTTTTTTTTAAACCAAACTATAGTAATCCCTTCTCCTGCAAGGCTTCACAGAAACTGCCAATTACAGCATGACACACCTTCAAACTAGCTCAAGATGTTAGAATTGACTAGTGCAGCAATCTAATCAACACTTGATGTATGTACTGTATGATTACATAATAAAATTTATATGTGATTATCTGAAATAGTGCACGTACTACTTCTAAAACGTGAGTGCTGTTCTACTAGTGTTGCAGTAAAACAATAACAAATACTTATACAGCTTTAAACCTTAACTGTTCAACACAGTGATGCACTGTCACTTAACAAGTGGTCTTGTTTGATCTTCGTCTGTGCACATTTGGCTTTTATACTTGCGCACCTCATGTAGGTATCGTTCCCACGGTTCTTTGGGCACCTAAAACACGAGAAGACATACTTCACTGCATGTTTGCAGCGTGTTCACTTGTATGAGAAAGGCAAGGTTTTTTTAAATTGTAATATAAAGTTGACAACATAATGCAAAGAAATTAGTCCACATACAATATTTTAAATGTACAGTTTGTCTAAACAATATGTTACAGATTCTTTATAATTGACAACTGTATACAAAATGCGGTGTTTGTACGAGCTGGTGTCAATGTCCAGACTGCATGACTATGATGATATGTTCCAAAACATTGTCTGTGTGAGTTGTCTACCTCAGCATCACCATCGTTCTTCTGCTTCTTCACAATGCCTGTTTTCAGGGCAGGTTTGCTTCCTCGTCGCTTACCGACCTAGTAAGATAAACAACTTGGACATAAGCATCTTCTAGTTCACTTTCCCAGCAATCTAGCCAGTGGCCTGAAATTGAAGACGCAGTCGTTTACATGATAACAACTTTCCATCCCAGATTCATCACTGTCACGCCTGATCAGTGATACAGTTCTACAGCAAGTTACGTGCCAGTAACCTGCACACAATGAAAATTAATAACCATTAGTCAATTGTCACCTGTGAAAAAAAGAAGAATATTAATGTAACTGCGTGCTGTACTTGCATGCACAAGTGCAATTTTGAAGTCCTGGTGAATAAAACACTGTCAACTTTATTCTCACAGACCCACACAACTTAAACTTAACTACATATAACAATAGATGTTTAGGCTCGTTTTTCAACAGAAGTAACTGGGCAGTGTATGCCTTGATATGCTTTTTATGAGTATTGGCTGACACTATACACTGACTAGTGCTCTCTACCATACGAGACTAAATTCAACCTCGCTTAATTCGTATCAGACAGGACCTCGGCATTTTCTACGAATTACGTAATCAACGAATTAGACTTAATTCGTATTTTCCACAAATTCTATTTAATCCGTAGAAATCACGAAATAGATAGATAATTTGTGTAAACAATGATTTATGAATGAAAGTTTTTACAATGTTATTTGTACATAGCTGAACAGCTGGATCGCGCGTTCGCTCGTACGCACTTGCCGTATACATATATGCATGCATGTTATACAAAAGTTATGTAAAATAACATGTATTTGTTCTACATGTATAAAGACTTTATATTGAAGTTTACACACATTCTATATTGAGCAAATATTGGTTAAATTTTATTTTATTTCAAACTTGGACAAGTACAGTACCTACGGTTCCACTTGCTATCACACAGAATGGAGAAAGCGAGCATTTATGTACAATTGACATTTGGCAAAAGTTCACTTCTGAATCTCGCGCATGCTCAATGCATAACTACGAACTGGCTTATTGATTTTAATTGTTGAGCGAGTGGCAAAGTGTTTATAAATATTCTCAAAGATAAAATGTTGCTTGCATAATTTGATAAACAAACATCCCCTACAAATTACGTGTGTCATTGTGAATTGAATAATGTTAATTGGACCAGAGAATTTTGTACGAATTACAGAATACGAATTATACAATGGAAATTAAAGAGAATAAAGCAGAGAAATATTGGGACCACATGTTTTTGTACGAATTAGGTATTCTACAAATAAGGTGATGACGAATTAAGCGAGGTTGACCGTATTAAAATTTGCAGTGTAGCACCAGTCTTCTCTATCAAGTATTTTCATTTCATACAAACCACTTGACGATTGCAAAACCATGCGACAATCGCAGTTAGTGAAAACTAGTGGCAATAATAAAAATATTTTGTGTGTGTAAATCAATGGTGTTAGCAATAGACAACAAATTCAAAGCAAATTTAAACAGCATAGATAGTTGTTTAGATTTATATTGCAAATGAATGTTTGCCTGGTGATGTTCTTATCTTAACTGAAATTGGAAAATCATAGGTCTGACCTGTGGCTAGTGACTAATGACCTCATATATACCAGTGTTTTTAGATTACCACCATCTGTGAAATTAAACACCATACATGATGCCAATTCAAGTAATGTTGCTATTACCGAAATATGGAGAGGGCGTTTCAATACCATACTAGCTGCACCCGACTATGTCAGCTGAGATAAGCACGGTGTATTTTTCTGTATTTAAGTTATGACAGGACATGCATGTGCGCGTAATGACAAACAGACTAGTAAATAATGGCATACTGCAAAGGATTGAAAGTGCGCAGGTGAACGAGCAAGTAGTATGAGAACTCTGAAGGCCAAAAGTTATACATAGCAAAACTAGCCTAAATGTCACCTTTGGGAAATTTATTATCATTTGGGCTACAACAAATCAATGTACTGGCTAACCAGCACACTACTGCACTTCTTGACCCCTACACCCTAACACAATGAATGCAGGTCATTGACCAGTGGGATTGTGCATTCTTTAACCCATTGTGTTTACACAGCGTCTTAAGTGATATGCAACTGCACTGCCTCTGCTTTATACACTCCCACAGAGTATAGGCCCCCACAGGTTGCTTTGGCTTCCGTAACGTGTTCTCCAGCACACATACTCGCTGTTATGAGGATAAGACTGTTAGTCTCATTCCAGCAAATTAAACTCATTTCTCAGTGTGTACAGGTATCAGGTGAAGCAAATTAAGATCACGTGCCTTGCCCAGTAGTATAACAGCAGTGGCCACAATGGGACATGAACAGCAGACCTTTCAGCCTGAAGTCAAGCGAGCAACCTGCTAGACCACCACTACTACCACCCTTAATTTGGCTATTTAGATGGAGATGGTGTGTAAGTTTTCTTAACCCCATAATTTCTTTCCCCAGCCCAGTCTATCAGTGCAATAAGCTTGTTGGAGGTCAAGAAGTGAAGTATTTTGTAAGCTACGCATGGCACCCATATATACTCTCACCACATGAACTGTCTGCCCAAATTATGTGTACTTATTGTACTTTATGTGTTACTTATTATATCACTTATTGCAGGTTACCATATAAAATGAAAGAAATTTATTCATTACTTAACCATGGAGGCGTCTAATTATAACAAAAATCCTCCATGGTAGAGCTTACAACCCGTGTCCGAGCGCTTACGTATGACAACAAGCTTGGTTTCTTCACGGGTACAGTTGCTTGTGAACTGCTTTCAACTGCCACGGGGTTAGTTTCGGAACGATCATGCGAGCTTGAAGATATCTTATTGTGATTCGTAGCCTCTATACACGAATTAGAAGAATCTTCGGTGCAACTTCCGGAGTCGCTTAATTCTTTGTCAACAACTGCTCGTTGTTTCGCTGCTGATGTTGACATCGTCGTTGTCGCCACTGTCGGCGACGATGTGCATTCTTTGACATCCGAGACTTGGGCTTGCAAATCTAACACTAACAGCTTTTTCTTTCGCTCTTCCTCTTCCATTTTCTTTCTAAATAGTTCCATAAAACTACCATCATTCCTGAATGCATTTTGCGTATTGCTATCTGTCGACGAATTGCGATTTTTAGCAATTTTGCTGGAATGTGAAGACACTCTTCGCCTATGATCGGCCATTTTATTCTTAGCTCTTGTTAATGAGAAGTTTTTAGAGCAAGCACTCTATTGGTTTGTCATTAATAGTGCTAGCCAATCGTAAGCGTTTTTATGAACCGCAACATTTCTGATGACACAAATTACGTACGCTGACTGTATGCCATAGAGTTGTATAATAGTACATTATATTATATTATTATACAACTCTATGCTGTATGCATATAATCAGGAGTAAGATAATATATAACATTAATAACACACACATATATATTATATTATGTAAACTGTTATTACAGCTCGGTCAGTTGACACTACGCCAAACTAGTCGTAAAGACACATACGCCCATAGAGATGTATAAATAGTTTATTTATACATCTCTATGCATACGCCAAATAGCATAACTGCATGGTGGCGCCGCCCAGCGAATAGAGCAGTACATTTCAATGCCCATATGTTAGGCAGAGATTTATATTATGCTCTGTGTTAGGATTATTGACGCGTAGTAAACTAAGATAATATATTTGTTTACATTAAACCATCTCTATTGTTAATTATAAAACTCCAAATGATGTTTGACAGTATGTACGTAATTTTAGGAAGTAAAGTTTACGTAGGCTTTGTCTCAATAATTGAGTTCTTCGCGCACTCCCTGGACGTTTATTCCTCACGGACTGTCCAGTATAGAAGTAGAAGTAGAAGAAGTAAACGACCAAATAAAATAAAATGAATTTTTACATGCACAATTTTCATCAATATTGGATTTAGTTAAATATCATAGATATCCTATAACAATATTATGTTGTTATATGATATCTATGTTGTTATAGGATATCTATGTTGTTATAGGATATCTATGTTAAATATAGTTTTCTTTTTCTGCAAATAATAAAGAAAAAGAATAGAGCAGAAAATAATTCTACAGTTTTTACTAAAATTTTCAATGTGTTGCTAAGAAGGTTCCAAAATTTACTCTGAACTTAAATTCCGGCTCTTGTGAAAAACTTCTTACCAACAAATGTAATTACTGGATTTTTTATTAAATATATATATATATATATATTTAATAAAAAAATAGATATATCTATATATATTCTTCTACCTATATATATGTATATATATATGCACTCACACACGCACACGCACGCACACACACGCACTCACGCACGTACGCACGCACAGGTACACAGACCATTCTCGATCGTAATTTTAGCTACTATAGTTATCCCTTCCTTCTTCTTTCCCCATTCTCCGCCACATTTTAGTCTCTCATACATTCATACCTCATACATTCATTCCTTCGCATGCATATAAGATGGACGGATCCCAAACGGTAGCCCAAGAGATCGATGTAGATGAGGAAATGAGAAGGTGGAGGATGGAGGCATGCAGTAGACGAAAGTGGGAACGGGGGATGAGGTGAAGGAGGAGAAAGGTAGTAGAAAGAAGGAGGAGGAAATGTATGAGGAGGAGATTAGGGGGAGGAGAAGGAGGAGGAGTGAAGGTGACGGAGGTCGAGCAGAAAGGGAGAATGTGGAGGAGAATGGATGAGGAGGAGGGGAGAATGTAGAGGAACGTGAAGGGAGTAGAACCGAAGAGTGTGAAAGAAGTGGTAGAGGAAGAGGATAAGAAAAGGCCTGCGTATATTCACTGACTTCTGGCCGGATGAGTAGGCCTACGATGTCTATACGGGCTACGTGTACGCTATAGATACAACCGATCACGCACGCAACCAGATGATACGCATCTATATTTTATCACACCAGTCTCGATCGAATCATAAGCAATCCGAGAATCATCCGAGAATCATTAAATCCGAGATCATAAATGATAGCTAAAGTGTCTCCAGTACAGCCAGCATAGCATGTAGAGGCCGGCCTACTGCCCAATTAAGCAAATTTCTAGTACCTATACTAATGAAAGGCTATAGTAATATCTATTTGCAATTAATAATTGCTGCTTAATTACGCTTCACTAGCCAAACTTCACAAGTATTTCACGTTGCCACTTTTCCCTCCCAGCGTAATAATTATCGGTGTTTGTTATATAAAGGGGGGAACGGGGGGGGGGGAGTACATTCCCACTTTCCCAGCAAAAAACACCCCATATTCCAGTTCCCAGTGAAATAAAATCCCAATTCCCAGTTCCCAGGTAATTAAAATGGCCAATCCCGCGTCCCGAAAATACCCGTCCCCCCCTCTATATAGGCCTACATAGTGCGTGCCCACCACTATCAACAGCTGTACCCGATACCATCCACCAATTAACTGTGACATCACCGGTTCCAGTAGTCGCT